AGATAGTTAATTAGCATATGTTCCTAATTCTTATTTCAATGTAAAAGATATAAGAAAAATATATGTATTTTTTATTATTCATGCTATATATATTAGTAATTTACAAAATCACAACACATATAATATATTATATATAGTTATTTTCACTTTAAACCATTTAAATATATTATAAACAATTTTGCGTATATTAATAATGATATAAAACCATATATTATTATATTGAATAAATAGACAATACATAAAAATATGTTATTTTTGTTAATTATGTTCCATTATTAAAATAATGAATTATATATAAATATAATTTCCTGATACATATCTTGTGTATAATATTTTATAACATATAGAAAAATTATAAAAAATATGTCTTCATGAAATAATATTTAAACAGATAGTTACATTACATAACGATTTATGCGATAATATTAACATAAGGCATTATCTGAAAAATTTTAATTATTTATATATTTTATTTTTCTCAAGTGAAAATTTGCACATTGTTTGTCATTCAATATAAATAATAATTTCTTTGAAATATGCTCAAATTAGTTTTTTAGATTATTTTGTATAATATCCTACAAGATGATGAGAACATTGTATTATCTTTCTGAATATTTTAAAATTTATTCTAACTGATACATAAACTGATAAGCATATGTTTCACTCTTATTTGGCACATTTTTTATTACGTATATCTTTATTTCTGTCCCAGGAATCTATGAGTTATATAGCGTGAAATAATAACTTGTGAAAACATAATTTACCATTAAAATTACATTGATTGCGCGTTTATATATGTTTATGATATAGAATAATAATTATTTGATATATATTCCATTTAAAAGGTAATATATTAAACCATATGTAAAAGTATTAGTTACGTAAGCAACTTCCATATGGCATCCACCAAAATGTATAGCTATAATTCAAAAATGTAAAATAATTATTCATATTTGGTGAACATATGATTAATAATTGAATGTCTTATAGTGGTGTTTTAGATTATTTATTTTTTTTATTTGATGATGTTTTCATATAAATTATTTTTACTTTAATCATTTTATGAAGAACACTTATACGAACAACAGTTATATTTAGAACTTTATTAATATATATTTTTATGACCACTTTCTACCTTATTGCAGTAATTGAGAAGAACTTTCTATATATAATGTGATTTATAACTTAATTATATATTTTAAAATACATTAATATATGCATTCATCCTTAAAAATATTTATAGTTAATAGCATTGATAAATATTTTTTTTTTACATTTATTTTTATGTTAAATGATTGAAATCATAAATGTCAATTTATTACTCATCATTGTATGGCAAATTAGATATATTTTTACTGAAAAATAAACATATTAAGTTTTTATTGTTTGTTACTTTTAGATGAAATGAAACAAATCACAAATTATACGAGTTAAGTAGATCATTATTAACAAATATACGTATAGATAAAATACACGATCCTAAAATAATTATATTAGATTTACATTAAGTTATCAGATAAATAGGATGACAAATAATTGTCGTAGAGTTTTAAATAATTGAATACATATATTTTTGTAACTCATGACTCAAATAACATCATGCATATATTCATTTGTGCAACGGTAATAATTTCTATAAAATATAATAGATTTATAAAAACATGTATAACTAATTATCCTTAAATAATTGTAACACATACAAGCAGTTGTATGATAGTATGAAGTTTTCTTAATTATACAAATATATATTATTTCATTTTAATTATTTTTGTAAATTTTCAGAATTATATATAAATTTACAGAAATTTGGCATGTGTCAAAATGTGATTAAAATTATGATGTTATATAAATAACTATAGCAGGCTATAAATTATTCACATAATTTTATAAAGAATAAATACCTTCAATTATATTATTTTTCTCTTCGGCTTTAAGCAAATTACGACATACTAAAATTTTTCTTAAAATATATATGAGTATCAATAATGATACTGCGGAAGAAGCCAAGGAGCCATAAGGTAGATATGTTTCATTCTTAAATAAGTAATGCTTTAAAGGAAAAAAAATAGCTCCTGAGGCAAAAATTATCAGAGGCAAAGAAAATATAATTATGATGTTTTTGTATTGATGGATTCCATTTATGTTTTTATTTATATTCCTGCCTTTAATCAAGTTATGTATCTTACACATTCTATAAAATATTTTTTTTTCAATATGGAAGTCTATTAGTGCAAAAATATTATATAATTTAGGTCTTTTTCTTTTATAAACTTTCTGGGATTTCATTTTACGCATTAATGATTTTTTTAATACTTTTTTTGCACGTTTTTCGTTCTTTTTATTTTCTTTTAATGATTTAATATTATCTTGATCACTATACATAATATTCTGCATTTTTATATTGTTATTTAAATCCATGGTGTTCATATAATCGTTTTTGCTCTCATTTAATCCTTCGCTCGTATTTTTTTTTTTAATATTAATTTTCCATAATAATCGATTTCTCCTTAAAGTTAATGATACATCAGGGTTTTTAAAATTGTCTATTGATTTAATGTGAGGCTTCTAAAAGGGGAAAATAATAATATATATTATCTAAAATATTATATTTTACTATACATTGTAACTATGTTTAAAAGGCAAAAAATATCTGTTAAAAAAAGTAAGACAACTGTAATTATATTATTTTACATCATCATTGTGACAATGGTATATCCATATAAAAAATAATATAATATGAATTTTAGAGAAAAAGACAAACTGAAATAATGCTGACATAGTGTTATTTTTTAGTTGTATAATTTATTAAGTAGTGAATAGTTTATCATAATTTATGTATTTATAACATTAAAAGAAAGTATATTAAATATATATTATAAAATAATTATTAATAATTCTTATTTTTTTATTAATATACATTTCAAATACATATGTATAACATTTCTTAATGTAAAATAATTGAATTGAAAATTTTAATATAAATTAGTAAATTTATACTCAAATACTATATATACATAAGGGAATTCAAACTAAATTTAGTTAAATTTATGTGTATAAATTCAGAACAAAACAATTGTATTCAATAATATATGATTAACAAAATAATTAATATGATACATAATTATTAGCTAAATAAATGTATTAGATTGAAATTAATCTATATAAAGTATATTATAACGTAAAAGTATAATGCAATAAATATAGAAATAAAACTATAGAACACTTGTTTATATCAATAATTATGATTGTTAATGAATACTTTTACAGGGGGTACAATTCTTCATGCGTTAAGCACAATATACTTGTTTAAACTACAACAGCATTATTGGTATTTATATGCATCATATATATTTTTTATTGTTTATATAGTGTTCAATTCATAAATAATTCACAAGTTTAATAAATATGAGATTTAGGTTCAAAAATTAAAATGTTTGAAATCATAATATTATTATTACTGTTACAAAGAAAAATATATATTTATTTATTATACTGATATGTATAATTTTTTATTTTATCTACATTTAAATTTTTTTGTGAAGTGTAGTGGGGTATATTTATTTTTTTTTTTGTTTTCCTTCTATATATATTTTTATAATTATCCATTTTAAGATTTATTCATATATTACGTACAGAGATTAACACAATATAGAATACTACAAATCAAATTATTTGTAGAATACAGTGTTAATATAATGACCTTTTAAACAAACTATTATTTGTTATGATTTTACATAATAAGTACTGATTAGGATATATCAACATAATTAAACATTTATGTTCTCTTAATTTCCTCAGCAGTATGGTATTATGCATGTTGCATCTGCTTTTTTTTTTTTTTATATATATATTACATAATTTTTTTTTATGAAGTAAACTTACGAAGATGCAAATTAAATCTTATTCTCCTTAATTATTTTATAATAACAATGGATGTATGATCATGAACAATGACATATATATGTATCATGACGTATTCGCTATGACATAACAAATAATTTTTTTTCGTAACATGTAGAATATAAAAGGGTCTTTAATCATGTTATTAAGTTATAAACGTATATTGAATTTATAATGTATATAAATAACGCAACAAATATTAGTGAAAAAATGATTTTTATTTATATATGTGTTTTCAAGTAGATATATATAAAAATATATTACGGATTTATGTAGGTTTTTATGTAAAGGAAAATAATATTTTTTCATAGAAATCTTAAAACTAAATATATATTACTACAAGTTATTGATAGTAGAAATAATATTCTACATAATATTTTATAGAATTCTACATATTTTTCTCTTTATTAAGAATAAAATTTTAGTACCAAAAAAAAAAAAAACTTTAAAATGATTAAAAAATAGAACACTTCTAAATAAAATCCAAAAGATATTTAATAATTAATCTTCTTATTTATAAAAGACGTATTATATATTTTCATCTTTTTCTGCAAATAAATACCTTTATATTATGCGATTTTTAATAGTATACATAATATGTTTTTCCTTACTATTTTAGAATTATAAATAGATTATATATTAATTTAACCCGAATATGAACGTTTAATTTATGTCCTCAATATTATATATATATTTTTTTATGAATAGCACTTGATTTTTTATTCTATTTTATATGAAAAAATATTATTTTTTCAACAACTTTATAATACCCAATACAATTAAAAAATACATTAGCTATTAGTTAAATTTATAATATAATAATGGAAAAAATATGCTATTTACATTTTTCTTATAATTAATGAAAAAATAAGAAATTGTACAATATGTAGGAGTAATTTATATATATTTTTTCTTTTATATATCAGTCTATATATTCAAATGCCTTACTTAACTATAAGGTGTCTTTCAGTTTTTTTTAATATTACTTCTATATGCATTTAACTATGTGATTTTACAAAATTAAATTTATACAGGGGGTTTATAAAAATTGTTAAAATAAAACAACACTTAAATAAGTAATTAATATGTATACGAATTCGGATATATACATATATGAATTGATTTATAGATAAAAACATATTAAAAATATATATATCAAAAGAGGAATAAAAATAATTAAATGTATATTATTTTTTTACTAAAATGTTATAAATATAAATAATATTATACATTTATGTTTTTATGTGAATAATACAAAAGAGTATATATGGCTTATAGAGAAATGTGTCCTTAATATAAATATATATATTACTTAATATTTTTTTGATATTTAAAAAATATTATTTAAATTGAATGATTATTTTCTATTTATTATATAAACTTATAACGTGCATAAAGAATTATTATTCACTAAAATAAAAAGGTCATAGTAGATATTTTATTTAAATATGAAATTACAAAACTTTTTTAGAATTTTTATATAGCATAAATATGTATAATATTATAGTGCATGTAACAACTATTTCCTTTGTAATAAAAATAAATAACTGAATATGAATTGAAAAATATTACAGAAAATTAATACCTTATGCCATTTTTCCTTTCATAATATTCATTTTCAAAATATATAAAAAATTCATAATGAAAAAAAAATATCATTAATAATTTTTTACAATAACGTATTTATGTATAAAAATACATATATCTTACTAAATAAAAGGGATTTTACTTATAAATGAGGTATAAATGATAAATTAATATTAAAAGAATAAAAAAAAGAACCTTAAAAAATATTTATAATAGTGTTGTTTTTAATTTATCGTTCATGGAGTATAGGAAAATATTGTTATCATTTTATCGACATAGGAAACACTATTATTCATAATAGAAAAAGTAGGATTAATATTTTTGATTTATTTATTATCATGAAGAAGATTTGGAAAAATTAATAGAAATAGGGAGAATTATTTATTGTGTAAACTTATATCTTATATATTAATAAGATAATTATACAAAAAAAAATTTTTTTAAAATATAATTATACTATTTATGTTTATATATTTGCATTATCTATCATTTATACAACAATATGTTATATTGTTCATAATTTTACATTTATAACATAAAAAAAAATTATTCTATATATTATTGAAGGATGCCTAAGTAATCTTATTTTAGGAATGCTATTTTTTCCTGTAATTATTTACGTGTATAATCTAATAAAAATTCTTGAGAAATATCGATACATTTTAAATATACATTAATTTTATAATAATATATCGTTTGAAAATTTGAATAAAATAAATCATTTGTATTATTAAAAAAAGACAATCTAATATAAAATTATAAAAATATATTTAAAACACTTTTTTATGTCATATATGCATTAGTTATTGATTTTCATAATGAAGGAAAAGAAGAATATGCGCACTTTTGTTAAAATAAGTGCATATATTATTTTAACATGGATTTATAGAATTATTGAATTGGTATGTTTACATATATATGTATGTTATTATTCATAATAAATTAGTATGCAATTTTACTATATTACAATTTATAGAATCCATGTTAACATGGTTTTCATTTAATTTTTTTTTTTTTTGTGGAGCCTTCAACTGGTAAAATATTGAGTAAATCATACTATCTAAGTGGGACATTTGGAATAAAAAATCAACGGATACTGACAAAGAATGGAATGGAAAAAGAATTAAAAATTCCACAAATGGATGAACATAATTGGGACCGAAGCGGAAATAAGAATTTAAGAATTGAAAATAATCATCATTCAGCATTTAATCAAATGGAAAAAAATACTCTTAATGGTAATAGTGTTAATAAAAGTGACAAAAAAAATAAATTAGCTATGAAATTGTTATTAAAGAATTATAATTTAAAGAGTAAAGAAAGAATTATAGCAGAATATAAAAACATAAAAAATATCAAGCAACGCATGGAATTGTATAAAGTGAGAAGAAGAAGAAATCGTTTTATACATAATTTTGAATTTTTTTTTTCATTTTTTTCATTTGGTATATTTTTATGCATATTTCCCACACTACTTATAACAGATTATTTTTCTAAAACTCATAATTTTTTAGTGCTTTTGTATTACGGAGCTTGTGTTGCATTTATTGCTATATTAGCATTAGCTATTATTTACCTTATGGATTAATTTGTAAAGTAAGAAAACATAAAAATGCAGAAAATGATAAATGTACACCATTTTTATATTTAGATAATTATAATGAATTTGTTGCATAAATGTATACTAATTGTGCAGTATATATAATATACATATTAAAAAAAGAATATAAATAAATTCATGATTTCTTTACATTTTTAAAATAATTTAATAATTGTTTGTAATTTTTTTTTATAACATTGAATCCCATATATTTATATGAGCTATTTAAGTGCGCAATTAATATTATTATCATGTTTGAGTCTATTTAAGCATTTTGCGTTTATTATAAATAAATATATATTTCTTATTATATAATTTTCTATTTTTCACAATTTCGCAACATATAATATTTATCTTATATATGGAAGTATTAATAAATTATACATCAGTTTTTTTTCATATGGTTCTTGGAAAATTATTTGTGTTCTAATTAAAATTTATATTATAAAACGGTGCAACATCATTTAAAATTTTCAATTACGTATTGTAATTTTTTTTCTATTGTATGGCATTGTTATATGGATATTTATTGAAATAATTAAAAACATTCTCTTATATTTTTATATGAAGAATGAATTAAATTCTTTGTATTTTAATGTAAAAAAAAATTATATTAATTCTAATGTTATTAATAATGAAAATAAATTTATAAATTTTTTTTTCATAACACCGTCTGAAAAATATTTATGTAAAAGCAAGTCAATAAATATTATTTTTTATAAGTTGCTTATTATTTACTTTAATTGAACATATAAGAATTTAGAAAGAGAGTTTGTACATATTATAGACCAGAAAAAAAAAATATATTGTTGAACCATTAATCCTTATCATTTATAGAATGTGATATATATATGTAATTATTATACCATTTCCTTCAAAAAATTGCATGTTCTCTGTTGAGCGCGCAGTATCATATTGATCTCGTATATCAAAGTATACGTATATTAAAAGCTCCATGTGAATTTATTTTTGAATAAGCCACGATTAAAAGTAAATTAGGTACATTCTAAAATTAAACTTGCAGCTCTGCAATATTATTTTTTTTTTTATTAAAAGTTTTAAATATTAGAAATAATGTATGATAAAACAATAATAATATAAAATACAGTATTTTAATATCCAAATACAATGAAAAATTATTTATTCATTTATATATATGTATGTAAATTAGATTGTTTCAATTCCTATGTTATAAGTTTTTATTATTAATTATGACTATATCTAGTATATATATGTATGTGGAGAAGAAATATATATAAGTACAATTGTCGTTGTAGAATTCATTGAAATATATGTTCATGATAATTGTTAAATTATATTAAATCGTTATTTGTATTATGTTATATGATATAAAACTAGTTTACATAAATTTGAAGAATGATATAAAATAAACATGTAAAAGAACTGTCTAAATTATTAATAGGAAAAGAGTAATAAATAAATTAGTCTAAATCAAGAGGACTAAACCTTAATCATAAAAAGGTTTCAAAGTAAGTTTATTACACAAATATGTTATACAAGTTAATACTATATAAAAATTTCTGCGTGTACATTAAACAGAATATTTTACATTATTTAATTTATTTCGCTGAATATTATACATATATGTATTTACGAATTCTTGTATTATTTGAAAATTATATCTATGTGTAGACAAATACATTTTGTTTAGCTGTAGTAGATATATATAGATTAATATGTATAATTTGTAGAATGAATAACACATTAAATATAAAAACAAGAATTTAGAAGATAACATAAAATAATGTTGTAGATATATACATATTCCTACAGCAATGTTTGTAATTAAATGCATGCTGTTTTATTTTTTTGAATTATATAAATCCGTGAAGTGTTGCATCAATAGCTTATTTTTTACACATAGCAAAAGCGTAATGATGTAATGAGTTAAAACATAACTACCCCTATCTGACAATATAATGTACATGATAATTAATAAAATAATTAAAGCACAATATTATATTATTATACATTATACTATATTTTTTTTGTTAAAATTTAATTTTCATTTAGCCATTATATTTGCTTGCATTTATTAATAATAATACAAAATATTAATATATTTTTATTAATTATTTTAATTAAAATTGATATATGTAATATATTAGTGCCATTATGTTCTCATATCATTCTGTCTCATATATATTATCATTCTTTTATAATAGAGTAAAATATTAAAACATTTTTAAATGTAATAACTAGAGAAGAGCACAAAAATAAAATATATTATGAACGGATATATTTTTTCATATATATAACATATAAACATCTAAAACATATAAGTTTTATGATAGTGCTAAATAATCCAAAATGAGAAGAAAAATTAGGATTATGTTTTTTATTAAAATCATTACATTTATCATTTTAACATGGATATATATGTGTTCTGTACCTGAGGTATTATATCAATATATGAATAGTGTGTATTTCTTCAGATGTTATTTATACTTAACATCGGTTATGTTTAATTTGTAGCTATCTATTCTATGTATTTATATTTTCTTTGTTCTTTCAAGAGTATATTTTGTAAATGTTTAAGTAATCATTATATTCTAGGTGAACGGATAATTATCAGAAATGATCGATTATTGGCAATACAAGAAACCCAAGGAGAATCGAATAAAATGGAATTAGAAAACAATTTTTCAAGTAATGTGGATGATAGTGAAATAAAGAAAAGCGCAACAAATGTATCATTGAATAAAAACATTAAAAAGGCATCCAATAAGTATTCCCAGAAACGCAAAAGTGGTTATAACCGAACATGTACTATAAACAAAAGATTATTAAGAATATCTTATATATACAATTACATAAAATCAATCGATTATTCCATTAAAGATGTAGTACTGGGACATTCTGAAAAATCAAATAATCATAATCTAAATGAAGTTATTACAAATAAGACTATAGAACATATGTTATGTAAAGATTACATATTAATTAATTCTGTTCCATTATCTGTAAAACTGAAGAGCATACTATTATCTATTTTTGAAGATATAAATGAGGATATTGCTATAAAATCCATACATGTTGCTTTAGTTATTATTTTTACGCACAAGTACAGTCATTCAACCTATGGAATGAATAAATCATTAGACTCTTTAATATTTCTTACACTAATGATTACTTGTTTATCACAAATTTTTTATACTATTGGAGAATACATGATTAGGAATAAATACGAAAACATAATATTAGAGGATAAGAGACAAATTAAAGAGAAATATGAGAAAAAAGAAATTGAAAAAAAAGAAATTAATCAAAAAAAAAAAGAATTAAAAAAAGAAAATAAACAAAAAAAAAGGGAAGAAAAGGCGGAGAAAAAAAAACAGAAAATAGAGAAATTAAAAGATTTAGAAACTTATATGAATGAGTATAATGATAGGTAT